ACACACCGCCATAGTGACAGTATTGGGCAGCGCCACTCATCCTGTGAGTGGACACATCGCCATAGTGACAGTATTGGGCAGCGCCACTCATCCTGTGAGTGGACACACCGCCATAGTGACAGTACTGGGCAGCGCCACTCATCTTGTGAGTGGACATACCGCCATAGTGACAGTATTGGGCAGCGCCACTCATCCTGTGAGTGGACATACCGCCATAGCAGAATGTACAACACTCCCCAATAGGAAGAAAACCCGCTGGGTTGTTCATCCTGTCACTTGTACCCAGACACAGCTGGGACTTGCTTAACTGTCTCAAGTGAACAGCTCCTCAAACAAGAAGATTAACATCTGCCAACCCTTAAAAGCTTACGTTATCTTGCGGGTGCAAAATGGGGAAATCTTTTAAGAACAGTATCAATAATTGACAAATAGTGTTTTCTTAATTCAAACAATGTGGGGTTTATTATTCAACACATACTTCTAATGTCTCTTAGGTGTTCACACTCTCTCAGGTAGTGGTCAAGGCGGTGTCCATCACTCTCACCACAGATTCTGCAACTTCGCTGATCAACTGTTGTTTCCATTCCATATCTCCAAGGATATTTGTATCCAATACGGATTCTCGCTATTACTGATTCTCTCCCTCGTCCTCCTCCTCTTTGGCCATAATGACTGGGATTGCCAGCTGCAACCATGTTGTACCATCGTATAGATTCACTGGTTTGTGCTTCTATCCTCCTTTCCTCAGTTAAATATTTTGCATTATTAACGCAATTGACCAAAAATGCGACGATTAGGTGAGATGACGGGTTGAATAGAGTGTTCCATACGTGAATGGGGAGTGTGTCTACTCCACCGCACTCCAGAGTACACTCCACCCCTGAATTACTCTGGGACTCTTAGTGCTTTATATTATCTCGGTCACTCATTAGGGGGACCCACCACTAGGCGTCATCTGGTCACCACTTGGTCCGGGAGACATCTCCCGTCATGCAGGGTGCAGTCGCTCCTCCACAGATCTCCAGTATCATCTATTGATACTGGTGATGGCTCAAAAGGGCCACCACTTACGGGCTATTCATGCCTGTGCCACCTTTTGGGTGGCTTCATCTTCATCTTAACACATTCACAAGGGAGACATCTCCCGTCATGCAGGGTGCATTCGCACCTCCACAGATCTCCAGTATCAGCTCTTGATACTGGTAATGGCTTAAAAGGGCTACCACTTACGGGCTATTCATGCCCGTGCCACCTTTTGGGTGGCTTAATCTTCATCAATCATCAATCATTAGGGGGACTCAGTCGTCTTTTCCCCACTGGGAGAGAAAACGGGAAGAAGAGAGAGTTGGGAGGAAGAGAAAAACGGGAGGGAGGAAGGGACAATGGTAGAGAGAGTAGGAGGAAGGGAGAGATGCAGAGTGAAAAGCTGGGAGGGAGATTGATTGATTGATGAAGATTAAGCCACCCAAAAGGTGGCACGGGCATGAATAGCCCGTAAGTGGTGGCCCTTTTGAGCCATTACCAGTATCAAGAGCTGATACTGTAGAACTGTGGAGGTTCAACTGCACCCTGCGTGGCGGGAGATGTCTCCCGTGTGGGAGGGAGAGAGGTAAGGTAGTTATCAGGAGAAAGCACTAATCCGTTACAAGTATATAGCAATTGAAAGGAATAAGGATTTAGGATAGAGCGGAGGAAAGGATGGCCAGTGTGAAGTACTGCCTCACCAGTGAGAGGTACTGCCTCACCAGTGAGAGGTACTGCCTCACCAGTGAGAGGTACTGCCTCACCAGTGTGAGGTACTGCCTCACCAGTGAGAGGTACTGCCTCACCAGTGTGAGGTACTGCCTCACCAGTGAGAGGTACTGCCTCACCAGTGAGAGGTACTGCCTCACCAGTGAGAGGTACTGCCTCACCAGTGAGAGGTACTGCCTCACCAGTGAGAGGTACTGCCTCACCAGTGAGAGGTACTGCCTCACCAGTGAGAGGTACTGCCTCACCAGTGAGAGGTACTGACTCACCAGTGAGAGGTACTGCCTCACCAGTGAGAGGTACTGCCTCACCAGTGAGAGGTACTGCCTCACCAGTGAGAGGTACTGCCTCACCAGTGAGAGGTACTCCCTCACCAGTGTGAGGTACTGCCTCACCAGTGAGAGGTACTGCCTCACCAGTGTGAGGTACTGCCTCACCAGCGAGAGGTACTGCCTCACCAGTGAGAGGTACTGCCTCACCAGTGAGAGGTACTCCCTCACCAGTGAGAGGTACTGCCTCACCAGTGAGAGGTACTGCCTCACCAGTGTGAGGTACTGCCTCACCAGCGAGAGGTACTGCCTCACCAGTGAGAGGTACTGCCTCACCAGTGAGAGGTACTCCCTCACCAGTGAGAGGTACTGCCTCACCAGTGAGAGGTACTGCCTCACCAGTGAGAGGTACTGCCTCACCAGTGAGAGGTACTGCCTCACCAGTGAGAGGTACTCCCTCACCAGTGAGAGGTACTCCCTCACCAGTGAGAGGTACTGCCTCACCAGTGAGAGGTACTCCCTCACCAGTGAGAGGTACTCCCTCACCAGTGAGAGGTACTGCCTCACCAGTGAGAGGTACTCCCTCACCAGTGAGAGGTACTCCCTCACCAGTGAGAGGTACTGCTTCACCAGTGAGAGGTACTCCCTCACCAGTGAGAGGTACTCCCTCACCAGTGAGAGGTACTCCCTCACCAGTGAGAGGTACTCCCTCACAAGTGAGAGGTACTGCCTCACCAGTGAGAGGTACTCCCTCAGCAGTGAGAGGTACTCCCTCACCAGTGAGAGGTACTGCCTCAGCAGTGAGAGGTACTGCCTCAGCAGTGAGAGGTACTGCCTCACCAGTGAGATGTACTCCCTCACCAGTGAGAGGTACTCCCTCACCAGTGAGAGGTACTCCCTCACCAGTGAGAGGTACTCCCTCACCAGTGAGAGGTACTGCCTCACCAGTGAGAGGTACTCCCTCACCAGTGAGAGGTACTCCCTCACCAGTGAGAGGTACTGCCTCACCAGTGAGAGGTACTGCCTCACCAGTGAGAGGTACTCCCTCACCAGTGAGAGGTACTCCCTCAGCAGTGAGAGGTACTGCCTCAGCAGTGAGAGGTACTGCCTCAGCAGTGAGAGGTACTGCCTCACCAATGAGAGGTACTGCCTCACCAGTGAGAGGTACTGCCTCAGCAGTGAGAGGTACTGCCTCAGCAGTGAGAGGTACTGCCTCACCAGTGAGAGGTACTGCCTCACCAGTGAGAGGTACTGCCTCACCAGTGAGAGGTACTCCCTCACCAGTGAGAGGTACTGCCTCACCAGTGAGAGACCTCCCCACTAACGAGGCTGAACATCTCCAGCAAGGCGGGTCTGGGTCAGTAACCAACCAACAAGTAGCAGTAGTGTGGTGCTCGTTAAGCTGCCCCACAATTAAGTTTCCCGAACACGGATGTGGGAACTGCTTCCCCCGGGAGCACCTCAAGGCCAGGATATTCTCGCAGAGGGTTTCTCTTCATGTAGGTTACGAGGTAGAGCTTGAGAAGTGCGTAAGACGTCTGCGCAGCTACTTCACTCTCAGGGGGCAGAGAGGTCAGTAGGAGACGCGTCCCCCCCCTGCCCCCAGGTCACCATCACCAGGGCAGGATGGTGACGGAGTCACAGAGACAGTGAAGAAGGGTCAGGTCACAGCGTTTCTCGACCTCTCATTACTAACCAAAGGTGTTTATAGTCCTCAGAATGATGTAACAGCCACGTCATGTTAATTTTGTTCTTCCGGATACAAGGCACACAGCCAGCCTACACCTATAAGTCGTACACACAGCCAGCCTACACCCATAAGCCGTACACACAGCCAGTCTACACCCATAAGACGTACACAGAGCCAGCCTACACCCATAAGCCGTACACAGAGCCAGCCTACACCCATAAGCCGTACACACAGCCAGCCTACACCCATAAGCCGTACACAGAGCCAGCCTACACCCATAAGACGTACACACAGCCAGCCTACACCCATAAGCCGTACACAGAGCCAGCCTACACCCATAAGACGTACACACAGCCGGCCTACACCCATAAGCCGTACACAGAGCCAGCCTACACCCATAAGACGTACACAGAGCCAGCCTACACCCATAAGCCGTACACACAGCCAGCCTACACCCATAAGCCGTACACAGAGCCAGTCTACACCCATAAGCCGTACACAGAGCCAGCCGACACCAATAAGACGTACACACAGCCAGCCTACACCCATAAGCCGTACACACAGCCAGCCTACACCCATAAGACGTACACACAGCCAGCCTACACCCATAAGACGTACACAGAGCCAACATACACCCACAAGACGTACACAGAGCCAACATACACACACAAGGCGTACACACAGTCAGTTTTTACTCACAAGACGTACACACACCCAGCCTACACCCACAAGACGTACACAGAGCCAGCCTACACCCACAAGACGTACACAGAGTCAGCCTACACCCACAAGACGTACACAGAGCCAGCCTACACCCACAAGACGTACACAGAGCCAGCCTACACCCACAAGACGTACACAGAGCCAGCCTACACCCACAAGACCTGTAGAGTGCATTATGAGCCATTTTTCAGCAGTAGCGAGTGGAACTCTCTCTCTCTCAAGAGAGTGTTCCCCTCAGCCTGTCGTGCACGGAATATGTAGATGACGGATAACACGTGAGACTCGTCCATGCTGGCCGGGAGAGAGAGAGTCGTGGCAGAGATATCCTGCCACACGAGCATCCTGCTGAGGCCCAAGATGGAGATATCCTGCCACACGAGCATCCTGCTGAGGGCCAAGATGGAGATATCCTGCCTCACGAGCATCCTGCTGAGGGGCCAAGATGGAGATATCCTGCCTCACGAGCATCCTGCTGAGGACCAAAATGGAGATATCCTGCCACACGAGCATCCTGCTGAGGGCCAAGATGGAGATATCCTGCCTCACGAGCATCCTGCTGAGGGGCCAAGATGGAGATATCCTGCCTCACGAGCATCCTGCTGAGGGGCCAAGATGGAGATATCCTGCTTCACGAGCATCCTACTGAGGCCCAAGATGGAGATATCCTACTTCACGAGCATCCTGCTGAGGGGCAAGATGGAGATATCCTGCTTCACGAGCATCCTGCTGAGGGGCAAGATGGAGATATCCTACTTCACGAGCATCCTACTGAGGGCCAAGATGGAGATATCCTGCCTCACGAGCATCCTACTGAGGGCCAAGATGGAGATATGCTGCCACACGAGCATCCTACTGAGGGCCAAGATGGAGATATTCTGCCTCACGAGCATCCTACTGAGGGCCAAGATGTAGATATCCTGCCACACGAGCATCCTACTGAGGGCCAAGATGGAGATATGCTGCCACACGAGCATCCTACTGAGGGCCAAGATGGAGATATCCTTCCTCACGAGCATCCTACTGAGGGCCAAGATGGAGATATCCTGCCTCACGAGCATCCTACTGAGGGCCAAGATGGAGATATCCTGCCTCACGAGCATCCTACTGAGGGCCAAGATGGAGATATGCTGCCACACGAGCATCCTACTGAGGGCCAAGATGGAGATATCCTGCCACACGAGGATCCTACTGAGGGCCAAGATGGAGATATCCTGCCACACGAGCATCCTACTGAGGGCCAAGATGGAGATATCCTGCCTCACGAGCATCCTGCTGCTCAGCCTTCACACTCTCAACTTGATGGAAATCAGTCAAACGCTCACGTTAAGCGGCAGTTCTTATGTTTTATGACCCGTGGCTTGTGTTGCTCCTGTGACCTGAAGTTGTCACTAGTTGTCAAGTTGTTGGAAGATCATCAACAACGGAAGATCATCAACAGCGGAAGATCATCAACACAGGAAGATCATCAACAGCGGAAGATCATCAACAGCGGAAGATCATCAACACCGGAAGATCATCAACAGCGGAAGATCAACAACACCGGAAGATCATCAACAGCGGAAGATCAACAACACCGGAAGATCATCAACAGCGGAAGATTATCAACACCGGAAGATCATCAACACCGGAAGATCATCAACAGCGGAAGATCAACAACACCGGAAGATCATCAACAGCGGAAGATCATCAGCAGCGGAAGATCAACAACAGCGGAAGATCATCAGCAGCGGAAGATCATCAACACCGGAAGATCATCAGCAGCGGAAGATCAACAACAGCGGAAGATCATCAACACCGGAAGATCATCAGCAGCGAAAGATCAACAACACCGGAAGATCATCAACAGCGGAAGATCATCAACACCGGAAGATCAACAACAGCGGAAGATCATCAACACCGGAAGATCATCAACAGCGGAAGATCAACAACACCGGAAGATCATCAACAGCGGAAGATCATCAGCAGCGGAAGATCATCAACACCGGAAGATCATCAGCAGCGGAAGATCAACAACAGCGGAAGATCATCAACACCGGAAGATCATCAACAGCGGAAGATCAACAACACCGGAAGATCATCAACAGCGGAAGATCATCAACACCGGAAGATCAACAACAGCGGAAGATCATCAACACCGGAAGATCATCAACAGCGGAAGATCAACAACACCGGAAGATCATCAACAGCGGAAGATCATCAGCAGCGGAAGATCATCAACACCGGATGATCATCAGCAGCGGAAGATCAACAACAGCGGAAGATCATCAACACCGGAAGATCATCAGCAGCGAAAGATCAACAACACCGGAAGATCATCAACAGCGGAAGATCATCAACACCGGAAGATCAACAACAGCGGAAGATCATCAACACCGGAAGATCATCAACAGCGGAAGATCAACAACACCGGAAGATCATCAACAGCGGAAGATCATCAGCAGCGGAAGATCAACAACAGCGGAAGATCATCAACAGCGGAAGATCAACAACAGCGGAAGATCATCAACACCGGAAGATCATCAACAGCGAAAGATCAACAACACCGGAAGATCATCAACAGCGGAAGATCATCAACACCGGAAGATCAACAACAGCGGAAGATCATCAACACCGGAAGATCATCAACAGCGGAAGATCAACAACACCGGAAGATCATCAACAGCGGAAGATCATCAGCAGCGGAAGATCATCAACACCGGAAGATCATCAGCAGCGGAAGATCAACAACAGCGGAAGATCATCAACACCGGAAGATCATCAGCAGCGAAAGATCAACAACACCGGAAGATCATCAACAGCGGAAGATCATCAACACCGGAAGATCAACAACAGCGGAAGATCATCAACACCGGAAGATCATCAACAGCGGAAGATCAACAACACCGGAAGATCATCAACAGCGGAAGATCATCAGCAGCGGAAGATCAACAACAGCGGAAGATCATCAACAGCGGAAAATCAACAACGCCGGAAGATCATCAGCAGCGGAAGATCAACAACAGCGGAAGATCATCAGCAGCGGAAGATCAACAACACCGGAAGATCATCAGCAGCGGAAGATCAACAACACCGGAAGGTCATCAGCAGCGGAAGATCAACAACAGCGGAAGATCATCAACAGCGGAAGATCAACAACACCGGAAGATCATCAGCAGCGGAAGATCAACAACAGCGGAAGATCATCAGCAGCGGAAGATCAACACCGGAAGATCATCAGCAGCGGAAGATCAACAACAGCGGAAGATCATCAACACCGGAAGATCATCAACAGCGGAAGATTAACAACACCGGAAGATCAACAACACCGGAAGATCATCAACAGCGGAAGATCATCAACAGCGGAAGATCATCAACAGCGGAAGATCATCAACAGCGGAAGACGGCGTTGATAACGAGGAGTGATATCCACTCTCCTCGATGTTAGATAATCACATATTTCTCATTGTGTTTCAGTAACGCTTAATGAGATATATACAAGAGTTGTTACATTCTTGTACAGCCACTAGTACGCGTAGCGTTTCGGGCAAGTCCTTAATCCTATGGTCCCTGGAATACGATCCCCTGTTTGTTTACTGTTTGATAATGTTTACAATGTTTAAACTGTCATGAAACATCGACGCTTGCTGAGGTCACACGATAAAACGCCCCAGCACTAAGAGCTTAAAAGAGAGGGAGAGAGAGAGAGAGAGAGAGAGAGACAGAGAGAGAGAGGGAGAGAGAGAGACAGGGAGAGAGAGTGAGAGTTCATGCCCCTGGTGGTGCCGGAGCCGACACCGACGGACCTAACCTAACCATCTTCACAGTTTACGGACCTACGACACTCTAGTCTAGTCACTTAAGGACAAAATAGTTATATGGCTTGTGTAGCCCTGATGACAGACCTGTGTCTTACCTACGTCTTCTTCAAACACTTGGGGCCAGATTCACGAAGCAGTTACGTAAGTACTTAAGGGTGTGTATATCTTTCCTCAATCTTTGATAGCTTTGGTTACATTTATTAAGCAGTTTCCAAGCATAAAAACTTCTCAATCAACTGTTGTTATTGTTATAAACAGCCTCCTGGTGCTTTGGAGCTCATTAACTGTTTGATAGTTGTAAACAATGCCGCCAAAGATTAAGAAAAAATGCACAGGTTCGTAAGTGCTTGCATAACTGCTTCGTGAATCTGGCCCTTGGACTGGACGGTACAGCATTAACGACCTCATTCCATCCCCGATGGTTCAAGTGGTTGGGCACCATTCCGCCCCCTCCGTCCTCATATCCCAGCAACTATCCCATCCTCATATCCCAGAAACTATCACGTCCTCATATCCCAGCAACTATCCCGTCCTCATATCCCAGCAACTATCCCGTCCTCATATCCCAGCAACTATTGATTTTGATTGTTACCGCCGAAGGCGGCTAGTTTATTGTGCACCCCATACTCATCCTGTGAGCGGTAGCGCAAAAGCATTGCAGAGGGCACAAAAGGTCTTTATCAGACCTCATCTTAGATTATTACATAAACAATTTCTTCAATCCTTCACACCTTATAGATACAATGTCAGCTAATTACAGAGAAAGTGCTATTACAAGAGCTACATATTTACAGTAAGTCATCATACATTAATGGTAGGTCTTGTCGTTAATACATAATAGTTTGGCCAATGGAGATATTACAGAGTCATAGGGGAGCTTCTGATTAGTATTAGTCCTCACAATACACTACTTGTTTCTGAATCTCATATGTCGTTCATCTACTGGAAGCAAAATGTGGGTACAGTGCAAGGATTTCAGGTAATTTATCCATGGTAATAAGATAGGTTGCCATATCATACAGAGTGAGCTTAGATTTATCTCTAAAAGGCTCAATTTTACTACAATCCAAGATATAGTGTTCGAGTGTGTGTCCCTGCCTATGTCCACACACTTTACACTTTACTTCATCTAGATCCCTATACAAGCCGAACTGCCAGAGATACTTGTAGCCAAGTCTTATACGAGCTGTGACAACATCTGTTAGTCTACTGACTAACTAATAGGGAGCCGGTCGGCCGAGCGGACAGCACGCTGGACTTGTGATCCTGTGGTCCTGGGGTCGATCCCAGGCGCCGGCGAGAAACAATGGGCAGAGTTTCTTTCACCCTATGCCCCTGTTACCTAGCAGTAAAATAGGTACCTGGGTGTTAGTCAGCTGTCACGGGCTGCTTCCTGGGGGTGGAGGCCTGGTCGAGGACCGGGCCGCGGGGACACTAAAAAGCCCCGAAATCATCTCAAGATAATCAAGATAATCAAGATAATCTGACTTTGTTACTTGCCCCATACACATGTTTTACTTCACACATTTCATTGTGATGAACAATGGACCTACTAGTTCCAGTTTGCACTGTTCTACTTTCTTCAAATCCATCTAGGAGTTCTCCTCTAATGACACTTTTAAGGGACCTATTTGATAACTCAAGATTCCGTTCAATACTGTCTTTATTTACTGCAGCCTTAGCAAGGGCGTCAACTTTGTCATGTTCCTGCATGCCAGTCCTCATATCCTAGCAACTATCCCGTCCTCATATCCCAGCTACTATCCCGTCCTCATATCCCAGTAACTATCCCGTCCTCATATCCCTTCCAAGTGCTACATAGTGGTAAAGGCTTAGCGCTTTCTCCTGATAATGACTATCTATGATGCTGGACGCCTTCCCGCCAACAGGGCCGGGGGGGGGGGGTCTACCTTACTGGTGTCACAAGGAGAATCCCCTAAGAACACAGAGGTTTTTTCCGACACTTTAGACTTCATTTACACATGAAAAACGATAAAGTTAATTGAGAGATTAAAAGATATTCGAAGGTATATTTTTTCAATAGTAATAATATTAATAATAATAATAATAATAATAATAATAATAATAATAATAATAATAATAATAATAAGAATCTTGCCAGACAGGACCAGCTGCTACAACACGTGACCATTGCCAGACAGGACCAGCTGCTGCAACACGTGACCAGTGCCAGACAGGACCAGCTGCTGCAACACGTGACCAGTGCCAGACAGGACCAGCTGCTGCAACACGTGACCAGTGCCAGACAGGACCAGCTGCTACAACACGTGACCAGTGCCAGACAGGACCAGCTGCTGCAACACGTGACCAGTGCCAGACAGGACCAGCTGCTACAACACGTGACCAGTGCCAGACAAGACCAGCTGCTGCAACACGTGACCAGTGCCAGACAGGACCAGCTGCTACAACACGTGACCAGTGCCAGACAAGACCAGCTGCTGCAACACGTGACCAGTGCCAGACAGGACCAGCTGCTACAACACGTGACCAGTGCCAGACAAGACCAGCTGCTGCAACACGTGACCAGTGTCAGACAAGACCAGCTGCTGCAACACGTGACCAGTGTCAGACAAGACCAGCTGCTGCAACACGTGACCAGTGCCAGACAAGACCAGCTGCTGCAACACGTGACGACCAACAGCTGGCAACAGGCTAGACCTCACCTCGCCCCACCCTGACGAGAGACCAGAAGGTCTTAACAACATGGGCCAGACCCAGAAGTCAACCAAGAGAATAAAGACACACACAACAGAGACGAGGAGGCAGGAGCAGCACAAGAGGAGGAACAACAGAGACGAGGAGGCAGGAGCAGCACAAGAGGAAGAACAACAGAGACGAGGAGGCAGGAGCAGCACAAGAGGAAGAACATTCACTCACCGTTTATGGCGCACCTGAACCAAAAAAATGGGCTGAGAGGGAAGAGGTGTTTCTCTCTCCCACGGTAGCTGCTGCGGGAGGCCGAGGCCGTCTGGTCTCCTCCACAGTTACATACAAAATTGGTGATAATGCTTTGTTACGATCGTGACTGACCTTCCTTACTGATGTATTAGAGCTAGTTTGGTATATATATATATATATATATATATATATATATATATATATATATATATATATATATATATATATATATATATATATATATATGTCGTACCTAGTAGCCAGAACGCACTTCTCAGCCTACTATGCAAGGCCCGATTTGCCTAATAAGCCAAGTTTTCCTGAATTAATATATTTTCTCTAATTTTTTCTTATGAAATGATAAAGCTACCCATTTCATTATGTATGAGGTCAATTTTTTTTTATTGGAGTTAAAATTAACGTAGATTTATGACCGAACCTAACCAACCCTACCTAACCTAACCTAACCTATCTTTATAGGTTAGGTTAGGTTAGGTAGCCGAAAAAGTTAGGTTAGGTTAGGTAGGTTAGGTAGTCGAAAAACAACTAATTCGTGAAAACTTGGCTTATTAGGCAAATCAGGCCTTGCATAGTAGGCTGGGAAGTGCGTTCTGGCTACTAGGTACGACATATATATATATATATATATATATATATATATATATATATATATATATATATATATATATATATATATATATATATATATTATTAAATATGACCGAAAAAGTAAGATTAATAATTCTAACACGAATTTTCTCAATCTTTCGTACATTACGCTTCACTGTTGGAGGTAAATCAAAAATCAATTCTCCAAAATTCATTTTTATTTCTAGTCTGACGCGACACGGGCGCGTTTCGTAAAACTTATTACATTTTCAAAGACTTTAGTTCACAAATACACAACTGAATAGAACTTACGTATCTCCGATTTTATATCTACATTTGAGTGAGGTGGAAGGGGTGATGTGGCATTAACACAAGACAGAACAAGTGTGGTATTAATAGGGTATTAATTTCATCAACACAAGACAGAACAAGAGTATTAATAGGGTATTAATTTCATCAACACAAGACAGAACACGAAACAATGGATATTGAATAGAAGTGTTTGTAGAAAGCCTATTGGTCCATATTTCTTGACATATTTCTTGATTTCATTTCTCTACAAACACTTCTATTCAATATCCATTGTTTCGTGTTCTGTCTTGTGTTGATGAAATTAATACCCTATTAATACCACACTTGTTCTGTCTTGTGTTAATGCCACATCACCCCTTCCACCTCACTCAAATGTAGATATAAAATCGGAGATACGTAAGTTCTATTCAGTTGTGTATTTGTGAACTAAAGTCTTTGAAAATGTAATAAGTTTTACGAAACGCGCCCGTGTCGCGTCAGACTAGAAATAAAAATGAATTTTGGAGAATTGATTTTTGATTTACCTCCAACAGTGAAGCGTAATGTACGAAAGATTGAGAAAATTCGTGTTAGAATTATTAATCTTACTTTTTCGGTCATATTTAATAATATATGTCTACAGGAAAGACTGCTACCAAAATATACTAATATATATATATATATATATATATATATATATATATATATATATATATATATATATATATATATATATATATATATATATGTATGTATATATTATTAAATATGACCGAAAAAGTAAGATTAATAATTCTAACACGAATTTTCTCAATCTTTCGTACATTACGCTTCACTGTTGGAGGTAAATCAAAAATCACTTCTCCAAAATTCATTTTTATTTCTAGTCTGACGCGACACGGGCGCGTTTCGTAAAACTTATTACATTTTCAAAGACTTCACAAATACACAACTGATTAGAACTTACGTATCTCCGATTTTATATCTACATTTGAGTGAGGTGGGAGGGGTGATGTGGCATTAACACAAGACAGAACAAGAGGGGATATTAATAGGGTATTAAAAGTATCAACACAAGACAGAACACAAACAATGGGTATTGAATAGAAGTGTTTGTAGAAAGCCTATTGGTCCATATTTCTTGATGCTTCTATATTGGAGCGGAGTCTTGAGGTGGGTAGAATATAGTTGTGCAATATTTGGCTGTTATATAATCTCTTCCCACAACCAAACCATCGCCAGAGAAATCCTAGTAAACAACACAGAAATCATTGATAGATACAGCGATAGCAGGCGGCTTGACGTTTGCGAGGCACTACACATCAAGAAGTCAACACCAGCAATCAACAGCCCATTATTGCACAACTATATTCTACCCACCTCAAGACTCCGCTCCAATATAGAAGCATCAAGAAATATGGACCAATAGGCTTTCTACAAACACTTCTATTCAATACCCATTGTTTGTGTTCTGTCTTGTGTTGATACTTTTAATACCCTATTAATATCCCCTCTTGTTCTGTCTTGTGTCAATGCCACATCACCCCTCCCACCTCACTCAAATGTAGATATAAAATCGGAGATACGTAAGTTCTAATCAGTTGTGTATTTGTGAAGTCTTTGAAAATGTAATAAGTTTTACGAAACGCGCCCGTGTCGCGTCAGACTAGAAATAAAAATTAATTTTGGAGAATTGATTTTTGATTTACCTCCAACAGTGAAGCGTAATGTACGAAAGATTGAGAAAATTCGTGTTAGAATTATTAATCTTACTTTTTCGGTCATATTTAATAATATATGTCTACAGGAAAGACTGCTACCAAAATATACTAATATATATGTATATATATATATATATATATATATATATATATATATATATATATATATATATATATATATATATATATATATATATATATATATATATATATATGCGAACAAGCCTGAATGGTCCCCAGGACAATATGCAACTGAAAACTCACACCCCAGAAGTGACTCGAACCCATACTCCCAGATGCCACGCAACTGGTATGTACAAGACGCCTTAATCCACTTGACCATCACGACCGGACATAATGAGGTGATAGCCGAGGCTATTTGAACCACCCCACCGCCGGCACTCGGATAGTAATCTTGGGCATAGCATTTTACCAAATCACCTCATTCTTTGGGGCACACGTGAGGAACACAAATGCGAACAAGCCTGAATGGTCCCCAGGACAATATGCAACTGAAAACTCACACCCCAGAAGTGACTCGAACCCATACTCCCAGATGAGTTTTCAGTTGCATATTGTCCTGGGGACCATTCAGGCTTGTTCGCATTTGTGTTCCTCACGTGTGCCCCAAAGAATGAGGTGATTTGGTAAAATGCTATGCCCAAGATTACTATCCGAGTGCCGGCGGTGGGGTGGTTCAAATAGCCTCGGCTATCACCTCATTATGTCCGGTCGTGATGGTCAAGTGGATTAAGGCGTCTTGTACATACCAGTTGCGTGGCATCTGGGAGTATGGGTTCGAGTCACTTCTGGGGTGTGAGTTTTCAGTTATATATATATATATATATGTCGTACCTAGTAGCCAGAACTCACTTCTCAGGCTACTATTCAAGGCCCGGTTTGGCTACTAAGCCAAGTTTTCCTGAATTAATATATTTACTATAATTTTTTTCTTATGAAATGATAAAGCTACCCTTTTCACTATGTATGAGGTCAATTTTTTTTTATTGGAGTTAAAATTAACGTAGATATATGACCGAACCTAACCAACCCTACCTAACCTAACCTAACCTATATATATAGGTAAGGTTAGGTTAGGAAGCCAAAAAAAGCTAGGTTAGGTTAGGTTAGGTAGGTTAGGTAGACGAAAAAACATTAATTCATGAAAACTTGGCTTATTAGGCAAATCGGGCCTTGCATAGTAGGCTGAGAAGTGAGTTCTGGCTACTAGGTACGACATATATATATATATATATATATATATATATATATATATATATATATATATATATATATATATATATATATATATATATGATATATGTAATATTTCTTATGTTTTTCTTCACTGAAGCAGAAAGATTGAAAATTAACTCTCCAAAGTTCATTTTTACTTATTATTTGGGTCTGACGCCTAGTGATGCGTTTCATAAGGTCTCGCCTCACATTCTCAAAGACAAATTCTTCTGTTGTTGTTGTTGTTACAGATTCAGCAACTCGGAACATGTTCCAAATAGCACGGGCTATGGTGAGCCCGTAACTTACTTGGCACAGGAACGGGGCAAGCAGCACGGGCTATAGTGAGCCCGTAGTGGACTTACCTGGCACAGGAGCGGTGCTGTGGAATTCTTCTGTGTTAGCTCCTGATTATATCCTCTGATGGTGAGGTGGTAGGTGGTATGGATGAATGACATACATGGGGAAATAAATGAATGGGGTATTAATGGGGTAGTAAATTAAGAGTGTGACATGTTGGCAGTTAATGTTCTTCTGGTTACTTCCGTTCCTGTTGCAGGGTCATTTGGTCCTTCTTCTACACTGGCCCGAGGTCTTGAAGTGGGTAGAGTGTAACTGTGTGTTAGCTGGTTATTGATTGCTGGTCGAGATTTCTTGATATTCAGCGCTTCACTGGTGTCTAATCTTCTATTGTCATTGTATCTATCAATTATTTCGGTGTTGCTCGTCAAAATATCCCTGGTGATCGTCTCGGTGTGTGTGGCGAATATATGTTCCTTGATGGAGCCCTTTTGTTTGTGTATTGTTAAACACCTAGAGGGAGACGTTGTTGTCTTGCCTATATACTGAGATCGTTGGGGCTGACACTCCCCAAGTGGACACGTGAAGGTGTAAACAACGTTGGTCTCTTTCAAGGAGTTTTTCTTGGTGTCGGGAGAATTGTTCATTAGCAGGTTGGCGGTTTTCTTACTCTTATAATATATTGTTAGTCTTATCTTTTGGTTGACGTCAGTTGAGGTAACGTTCCTCTCAATGATCTCTTTTAGGGCTCTTCCCTCTGCCTTGTAGGTCGTGGAGGAGACGTTTCTGTAGAACAATTTTATTGGAAGTTCAGGTATTGCTGTGTTAGTTGTTCCGTTGTCTGTTGCACACCTCGCCACCTTCCCTTTTATTATGTCTTCCACATAACCATTGGAACCATATGTATATATATATATATATATATATATATATATATATATATATATATATATATATATATATATATATATATATATATAATATATATATATATATATATATATATATATATATATATATATATATATATATATATAATATGCGTGTGTGAGAGGGTTAAGGGTGAAGGGGGGGGGGGGGGGAGGAAGCAGCTTGACCTCGCTTGTCAGTCATCCCTCAGTGATTGTATCAAGGGGTAGCCTCTCCCTCTCCCTTCACGCCCGCTGAAGCATTACGGTCTGTGGGCGGCTCTGTAGCTGACCTGGGGCCTGTGGGCGGCTCTGTATCTGACCTGGGGCCTGTGGGCGGCTCTGTAGCTGACCTGGGGCCTGTGGGCGGCTCTGTAGCTGACCTGGGGCCTGTGGGCGGCTCTGTAGCTGACCTGGGGCCTGTGGGCGGCTCTGTAGCTGACCTGGGGCCTGTGGGCGGCTCTGTAGCTGACCTGGGGCCTGTGGGCGGCTCTGTAGCTGACCTGGGGCCTGTGGGCGCCTCTGTAGGTGACCTGGGGCCTGTGGGCGGCTCTGTAGCTGACCTGGGGCCTGTGGGCGGCTCTACAGCTGCGCCGGGGCCTGTGGGCGGCTCTGTAGCTGACCTGGGGCCTGTGGGCGGCTCTACAGCTGGGCCGGGGCCTGTGGGCGGCTCTGTAGGTGACCTGGGGCCTGTGGGCGGCTCTGTAGCTGACCTGGGGCCTGTGGGCGGCTCTGTAGGTGACCTGGGGCCTGTGGGCGGCTCTGTAGCTGACCTGGGGCCTGTGGGCGGCTCTGTAGGTGACCTGGGGCCTGTGGGCGGCTCTGTAGGTGACCTGGGGCCTGTGGGCGACTCTGTAGGTGACCTGGGGCCTGTGGGCGGCTCTGTAGCTGACCTGGGGCCTGTGGGCGGCTCTGTAGGTGACCTGGGGCCTGTGGGCGGCTCTGTAGGTGACCTGGGGCCTGTGGGCGGCTCTGTAGCTGACCTGGGGCCTGTGGGCGGCTCTGTAGGTGACCTGGGGCCTGTGGGCGGCTCTGTAGCTGACCTGGGGCCTGTGGGCGGCTCTGTAGGTGACCTGGGGCCTGTGGGCGGCTCTGTAGCTGACCTGGGGCCTGTGGGCGGCTCTGTAGGTGACCTGGGGCCTGTGGGCGGCTCTGTAGCTGACCTGGGGCCTGTGGGCGGCTCTACAGCTGCGCCGGGGCCTGTGGGCGGCTCTGTAGCTGACCTGGGGCCTGTGGGCGGCTCTACAGCTGGGCCGGGGCCTGTGGGCGGCTCTGTAGCTGACCTGGGGCCTGTGGGCGGCTCTACAGCTGGGCCGGGGCCTGTGGGCGGCTCTATAGCTGACCTGGGGCCTGTGGGCGGCTCTACAGCTGGGCCGGGGCGTGTGGGCGGCTCTGTAGCTGACCTGGGGCCTGTGGGCGGCTCTACAGCTGGGCTGGGGCCTGTGGGCGGCTCTATAGCTGACCTGGGGCCTGTGGGCGGCTCTACAGCTGGGCCGGGGCCTGTGGGCGGCTCTATAGCTGACCTGGGGCCTGGGGGTGGCTCTGTAGGTGACCTGGGGCCTGTGGGCGGCTCTACAGCTGGGCCGGGGCCTGTGGGCGGCTCTATAGCTGACCTGGGGCCTGTGGGTGGCTCTATAGCTGACCTGGGGCCTGTGGGCGGCTCTACAGCTGGGCCGGGGCCTGTGGGCGGCTCTATAGCTGACCTGGGGCCTGTGGGCGGCTCTACAGCTGGGCCGGGGCCTGTGGGCGACTCTATAGCTGACCTGGGGCCTGTGGGCGGCTCTGTAGCTGACCTGTGGATGGTGGGCGGCTCTACAGCTGGGCCGGGGCCGTTGTGCTCTGCAGCAGAGAGTTTGGGGAATCACTATTCCTCTAAAATATATGGAAGTGCCTTGGGTCGCCCCTAGAGCAGGGCGGACGTCAGCGTGCACCTGAGCTCTTGTGTCTCCTGACTCACTTGCTATGTTGCCCGAGGGTTTTAATTCTGTGGACGCGGTGGGTTGTGTGGGTTATGCGGGTTATGCGGGTTGTGTGGATTGTGTGGATTACGGTGGTTTATGTGGGTTGTGTGGATTGTGTGGATTACGGTGGTTTATGTGGGTTGTGTGGATTGTGTGGATTACGGTGGGTTGTGTGGATTGTGTGGATTACGGTGGGTTATGTGGGTTGTGTGGATTGTGTGGATTACGGTGGGTTGTGTGGATTGTGTGGATTACGGTGGGTTATGTGGGTTATGCGGGTTATGCGGGTTGTGTGGATTGTGTGGATTACGGTGGTTTATGTGGGTTGTGTGGATTGTGTGGATTACGGTGGTTTATGTGGGTTGTGTGGATTGTGTGGATTACGGTGGGTTGTGTGGATTGTGTGGATTACGGTGGGTTATGTGGGTTGTGTGGATTGTGTGGATTACGGTGGGTTGTGTGGATTGTGTGGATTACGGTGGGTTATGTGGGTTATGCGGGTTATGCGGGTTGTGTGGATTGTGTGGATTACGGTGGTTTATGTGGGTTGTGTGGATTGTGTGGATTACGGTGGGTTGTGTGGATTGTGTGGATTACGGTGGGTTATGTGGGTTGTGTGGATTGTGTGGATTACGGTGGGTTGTGTGGATTGTGTGGATTACGGTGGGTTGTGTAGATTGTGTGGATTACGGTGGGTTGTGTAGATTGTGTGGATTACGGTGGGTTGTGTAGATTACGGTGGGTTATGTGGATTGTGGTGGATTGACGATAGTTGTGGGTGGCAAGCATGGGCAGTGTTTGTGATGACTTGGGGAGGGGTTGGTTGAAGCTGGTTTAAGAAGAGAAGGGGGGGGGGCGGGGTGAAGCTTGTTACTGATGTGGGGGGAGGTGCGGGGGGGGGGAGTGAGTGGGGTGTCGGAGTTGGAGGCTGTGTTTGTGGTGAAAGTTGGGGTCCCGTGCGAGGACTTCCCACGCCCCACATCACCTATCACCAGCATCACTACCTCTCCCGCCTGACTTTGGGTCGTGACCCCCGCCCACGCCCACCCTGTGGCCTATGGACCCACCCCACCCACTCCCCGCTCCCACACTAATGACACCCGTAGCATCGGACTCTATAGAACTAGCACGAGTCTTCTAAAGGCACTGAGCACCTCTAGTCGTGGACGACCTCACGAACCTACACGACGAACGCTAGTGGTGCCTCAGGCGACCGTCCACACCACATAGCCTCCGTAGACTTGAGTATTAGGAGGTACGAACGATGGATTGTTTACGGATAAAAGACGAGAACGCGGTGTTAGGGCACCACAGCTTTACACAATCGACTTGAGAATGGTCCAGGACGGACCGAAACGTCGTCGTCCCTTCATTTTCTAGTGTGTGGTCTGGTCAACATATTTCAGCCACGTTATTGCGACTCATCATCTGCACAGCTTTGCACCTCGGAGGTCGTACCCAGGAGGGGCGGCTCCTCTGGAAGGCAAGGCCAGCCGGGCTACAGTAACGTGAGCGGACCTTTTTTAAAGCAGCGTTTTTGCAGGGTGTCCGGGAAAGCTGAGGGTGGCAGGAAGGTCCGGCTCCTGTAAAGGCTCCTCCAGTGACCTTGGTGCAGGGCAGGTGTGTCATATTACTATATTACCTTTTAAGTTTTGAGTGAAGACAGCATGAAGTGCTTACGACGCACATGATCGCAATATACTAGATACTGAGGGGAATTGACCAGTTGGACAAGGACAGTCTCTTGAAAGTGGGCGAAAAGTAGGACAAGAGGACACAAGTGGATGCTAGAAATGCAAATGAGTTGAAGAAATGTAAGGAAGTACTCGTACCCTGTACGTGACTCGTACCCTGTACGTGACTCGTACCCTGTACGTGACTCGTACCCTGTACGTGACTCGTACCTGTACGTGACTCGTACCCTGTACGTGACTCGTACCCTGTACGTGACTCGTACCTGTACGTGACTCGTACCCTGTACGTGACTCGTACCCTGTACGTGACTCGTACCCTGTACGTGACTCGTACCCTGTACGTGCAGTCAACAAGCACAATGCACTGAAGGAGGTTGTGGAAGCCACCTCCATCCACAAATTTAAGCCCAGCTTCGACAAAGAATTCGAATATTAAATTATAACCCAACAGGTTGAACAGGGCTAGTAGGCAGGGCATGAAGAGCTAGACCTCACCTTCTCGGAGCCACTGCCAGGTAAGTGGTAAGTCCTGATAGGTAAACACGACGTTAAGAAACACCAAGAAGAGATAAGACTGTTGCTGTAATATTACATGTTAAGCACTCCGCCATTTATATACGTGTAGCAATACTATAGCCGGTGGAGGAGCAGTGGGAATTAGTACTGATAGTACCAGCCGCCACAACATTAGCCACAAACAGGGTTCGCCTGATCAGGGTTCGCCTGACTGGGGTTCGCCTGACTGGGGTTCGCCTGACTGGGGTTCGCCTGACTGGGGTTCACCCGGCAGGGGTACACATGGTAGGAATTTACAACAACAGAGGTTCACATGGCAGGGATACACAATAAAAGGGGTTCACAGTTTACCACATAGTACCTTACCTTGCGTTGATCCCAGGGGTCAAGACCCCCCTCCCCCCGGCCCGGTCTCTGACCATGGCCTGCTGGTTGATGATCTGGTCAACCAGGCTGTTTGATGTGGCTGCTCGCAGCCTGACGTCCAGGCTGTAGCAAAGTATATATGTAGATAAAACTATGAGTTTGTGTGCCGGGATTTAACAACATAAGTAAACCTTCAGTGTGGATAACACCGACGCGTTGATGAACCAGGAGCAACAACTCATCACCTTCACGGACGTTAAACTCATCAGTGAAGTAGAAAAATACACAGAAAGGCAGAAGACAGACTGTGTAGCCATCAACTGGCTACACAGTTGATGCCTACACAGTTGATGGTTCGATTGTAACACAATTACACAATTACTCACTATTATTAATGGCACAAGTCGGCCTCTTTTTCGTTTTGTTGAAAGTATTATTGCATTTGAGCATTGCTTCTTACGCCAGCTAAGTTCCAGGGATGAGTACAGGATGTTATTAGGTACGGAAGCTTGGGCGATTCCTCTGGCATTGAACAACCCCCCACGACATTCCTGGGGGGTTGTTCGACCCCCCATAAGAGAGTCCGGCGCTACTCGACGCGGGCTCTTCCTGGTTGGAGCAGCGACCCATTGGGATCCTTTAGCTGTCAGGAGTGGAGCAGCAGGACCCGGGCAAGGGCACCGCTGACGCAATAGGATCCCCCCCTACTCCTCCTGGGGTTGTCTCTCCCCAACCAGGAAGTCATGACGTAAAACCATCAATCTGGTGGTGTCTTGGTGAACTACGAGGTCAAGCGCGTTCTATCACCTGTTGTGTGGGACCAGTGTCAACCATGACACTGCCAAGATACACCACCAGGTCTTTGACCCTGAACAGCAATATCAATCACAGCTTGACACAAGCACTGTGTCAGAGCTGTGTGGAGTGGATATTCAACAGGTTGACGTCCTCAGTTTCCTTATCTCACTTGACCTAGGCACCACTGGGTGTGTGTGTCAACATGAGTGTCAGCAGTGCCAGTATGGCAGCACTGGGTGATCGTCAGCATGGGTGTCAGCAGTGCCAGTATGGCAGCACTGGGTGATCGTCAGCATGGGTGCCAGCAGTGCCAGTATGGCAGCACTGGGTGATCGTCAGCATGGGTGCCAGCAGTGCCAGTATGGCAGCACTGGGTGATCGTCAGCATGGGTGTCAGCAGTGCCAGTATGGCAGCACTGGGTGATAGTCAGCATGAGTGTCAGCAGTGCCAGTATGGCAGCACTGGGTGATAGTCAGCATGAGTGTCAGCAGTGCCAGTATGGCAGCACTGGGTGATCGTCAGCATGGGTGTCAGCAGTGCTAGTATGGCAGCACTGGGTGATCGTCAGCATGAGTGCCAGCAGTGCCAGTATGGCAGCACTGGGTGATCGTCAGCATGGGTGCCAGCAGTGCCAGTATGGCAGCACAGGGTGATCGTCAGCATGAGTGCCAGCAGTGCCAGTATGGCAGCACTGGGTAAGGCCCAGCAGCTGCCAGGGTAAAAGTGGAGGGTGCCACGGTCACCTCAACATCCACGATCAATAAGGACCCGCCGCAGACGCCCGTTTTCTATACCTTATTCCTACTGCAACAACCTTTGAGAAAATGGTGAAGGTTTAAGGCGGTGACGGACCTGAAGGCCCCGTGCCTCCGTGCTTTCATACATTACTCCACTGAGGGAGGAGACGGAGGGGAAGAGTAAGAGGGAGGAGAGTTAGAAGAGGAAGAGTTGGAGGGGGAGAGTAGGAGACGGGGAGGAAGAGGGGGGGGGGGCGAAGGCCACCTCAAGAGACCTAAGTAGAGGTTTTCAAGAGGCTGGAGACTCGACGTTCAGGTCATGTACCAGAGGTCACTACATACTGTGTTGTGAAGCACTGCCCTCCTAGCTCCCACGCCCACTCACGTCAAGCTCACACCCATCACGTCAAGCCCACACCCACTCACGTCAAGCCCACACCCACTCACGTCAAGCCCACACCCACTCACGTCAAGCCCACACCCACTCACGTCAAGCTCACACCCACTCACGTCAAGCCCACACCCACTCACGTCAAGCCCACACCCACTCACGTCAAGCTCACACCCACTCACGTCAAGCCCACACCCACTCACGTCAAGCCCACACCCACTCACGTCAAGCCCACACCCACTCACGTCAAGCTCACACCCACTCACGTCAAGCCCACACCCACTCACGTCAAGCCCACACCCACTCACGTCAAGCTCACACCCACTCACGTCAAGCCCACACCCACTCACGTCAAGCTCACACCCACTCACGTCAAGCTCACACCCACTCACGTCAAGCCCACACCCACTCACGTCAAGCCCACACCCACTCACGTCAAGCCCACACCCACTCACGTCAAGCCCACACCCACTCACGTCAAGCCCACACCCACTCACGTCAAGCCCACACCCACTCACGTCAAGCGCACACCCACTCACGTCAAACCCACACCCACTCACGTCAAACCCACACCCACTCACGTCAAGCCCACACCCACTCACGTCCAACCCACACCCAGTCAAGCCCACACCCACTCACGTCAAGCCCACACCCACTCACGTCAAGCCCACACCCACTCACGTCAAGCCAGAGCCAGCTCGATGACTCACCAGGGTGCCTCGTCTGGTGCCAGGAGCCAGGAGCCACCGCGCTGTGGGGCGTCTTAGGGCTCCTGACGGCTGTCGCTGACCTGGGCGTGTGACCCGGGAGAGAGTGAGGTCCTGCAGGTTCTGGCGCTGCCCTTCACCCTCCTCCTCCCTGGACGCCAGGCTCATAGTAGAGAACATAAGTAGTGAGAGTGAGGGGGAAGAGAGTAGGAGATGGAGGGGGGAAGAAGATGATGGGATATGGGAACAGACGACTGCTGACTTCTACTAGCAGGTAAGGAGCTTTCCCTTCCCCTAACTCATGGTAATAAGCCTTATATCCACTAGTTTTCCCCGGCACACGCCCCGGTCATTGGTTAATAACCAGGCACCCAATTGTTGCCGGGTGAACAGGGAAGAACAGTTATGGATCGGCGCGAAGTCACTTCTCACTGGCAAGGACTCGAACCTGGACTAAATCGCTCGCGAGGTGCAGGAGGTTTGTTACCACTAAGCCACCAGTTATCCTGCTTCACTTCCTTCGATTCCCCACACCCATATATTTACACTTACACACACACACACACACACACACACACACACACACACACACACACACACACACACACACACACACACGGGGCCTCGTAGCCTGGTGGATAGCGGGGCCTCGTAGCCTGGTGGATAGCGCGCAGGACTCGTCATTCTGTGGCGCGGGTTCGATTCCCGCACGAGGCAGAAACAAATGGGCAAAGTTTCTTTCACCCTAAGTGCCCCTGTTATGTAGCAGTAAATAGGTACCTGGGAGTTAGTCAGCTGTCACGGGCTGCTTCCTGGGGGGTGTGTGTGTGGGGTGGGGAAAAAAAAAAAAAAAAAAAAAAGTAGTTAGTAAACAGTTGATTGACAGTTGAGAGGCGGGCCGAAAGAGCAAAGCTCAACCCCCGCAAAAACACAACTAGTAAACACACACACACACACCAGCTTGGGGCTGGGGTTACCAGGGTTGTCAAGTCCCTGCAGGTTAACCACACATTACCAACATCACAGATGGAAAGACCCAAACACAATACACTATAGTGTTTGGGTCCCTATAAACATGTCCTCACAAGAAACGTTCAATGATTCAAGTGGGAGAAACGTTGAACGTGGCTGGTGGTGTGAGCACCCACACCCAGCCTGCGCCAGCTGTCTAGGGATGTAAAAAATGAAGCCCCGAGCCTAAGTGGTTCTCGTATTATTCCACTTAGCGAGGAATCACCACCAGCGGCCTGATAAGGATCGCCGACACCGTGGGAAAGCGCTCTTCTTCTATTGGTTCGTAAGCAGGCAACCGGCAGTTTAGCCGTCGTTACTATGTAAATGGTGATGAAGCCTGACCTCGCTCCTGCCTGCTCTTCCTCCAGAGAAACCACTCCGGCTCTCCTTCCCGTGGCGCTCCCGAGTCCCGGCCGCCCCCTCGCCTCTAGCAGCCCTGCAGCTTTCCTCGGTCCTGTCTGGTCTCCTCTACAGTCCTGTCTGGTCTCCTGTACAGTCCTGTCTGGTCTCCTGTACAGTCCTGTCAGGTCTCCTGTACAGTCCTGTCTGGTCTCCTGTACAGTCCTGTCTGGTCTCCTGTACAGTCCTGTCTGGTCTCCTGTACAGTCCTGTCTGGTCTCCTGTACAGTCCTGTCTGGTCTCCTGTACAGTCCTGTCTGGTCTCCTGTACAGTCCTGTCTGGTCTCCTGTACAGTCCTGTCAGGTCTCCTGTACAGTCCTGTCTGGTCTCCTCTACAGTCCTGTCTGGTCTCCTGTACAGTCCTGTCTGGTCTCCTGTACAGTCCTGTCTGGTCTCCTCTACAGTCCTGTCTGGTCTCTACAGTCCTGTCACGTCTCCTGTACAATCCTGTCTGGTCTCCTCCACAGTCCTGTCAGGTCTCCTCCACAGTCCTGTCAGGTCTCCTGTACAGCCTTGTCAGGTCTCCTCCACAGCCTTGTCAGGTCTCCTCCATAGCCTTGTCAGGTCTTCACGCTAGTCAAGTTCTCCTAACCGTCCTAGAGTGTTCGTAGTCTAAGTCTGGCCAGAAAGCGGGCCGTGGGGGGCCACCGATCCCCGGAACCACTAAAGAAAACCTAAACGTTAACAAGTGTATTGTAACAGGCAGTAAAAGTTTGGTCACGTGGTCACAAATACATAATATAATCATCAGGTGATTATATTATATATTCGTTATCACGTATAACGTCATTAAAGAGGAGTGTTATAGTCTGGTTATATTTGAGACAAGAGCAACAGAAGTATAGAGAGCTGTCGTCACGCTGGGCGGTGGGGTAACACAGCTTCAGATACTTCAGGTCATTAATGTTGGGTGATGATGACATGCCATAAGACAACCCGTCCTCTTAAAAATAACGTCACTTTTGGCTCGTATGCGCGCCGCTATGGCCAAATTTGGACGTAATTTGAAATGAAATCGACTCACAAAAGTGACGTACTGTTCCGTTTTCTGCTTGAGTCGTCCGGCTTACTCGGCAAGCTTAGTAAAGGATTCTTTCCTTTAACGTTTTTCATAACGTTTTGAAACTTTATGAGAATTTCCTGCCCACCTAACCTATCAGAGGACCCTTAACTTACTGTTGTTGAAAAAAAATCCCAAATTTATATTCATTTTTTTTCATTTTCAAATTACGTCCATATTCGGCCATACGGGCAAACGGCCAAAAGCGACGTTCTTTTTAAGAAGACAGGTTGCACGTATGAGCCATACTTGTTACCGTTGACGAGGCTGTAACGGTATGGGTGACGTTGAAGCCACGACCGGTCACGGAAGCTAAACGAACTAGAGGGTTCAGTTCCTGAACCGATTATGTGCCTCTGTAACCCTTTACACCACCGCCCACGGGATGGGTATGGGGTGCATAATAAAGAAAGAAGAAGGAAGCCACCGTAGACAAGCCTCGGTCTAGGGGTCACCCACAAGCCATACGCATCATCGCCACTATTCATTCATTTTCATTTCATTTATTTATTATGCACCCCATAACCATCCTATGGGCGGTGGTGGAAAGGGTTACAGAGGCACATAATGGGTTCAGGAACTGAGCCCCATTGTTCGATTAGCAAGGGACGCTCTTGTGAAGCTAGTTACACAATGGTTAATATTCCATACATAAGAGAGGCTGTTTGTCGTTAAGATTGCTGAAGGGAGAGTTATCACAATTGTTACGCTTAGCGCTGAGAATGATGCTGGGATCAATTTGGCTGCAGACAGGATAGTTTACCATAACTAAGCCTGTCACTATAGACATACAGCTTGAGAAAACTTTGCAGCATCGGACGGGGTACACGACACTTCCCGCCAGAAGTGATGACAGCTGGACGCTCTCTTAAGTATGGGGCTTCTTTGTGGGCTGCCTGGATCATCGCGCGCACCCTCCCACCAAACACTCAGTGTCTTACGTGGTGTTGCTCAGTTATTGCCAACCTATTCATGTGTTTTTCTTTTTGCCGCCAAGCGCAACTCTTCCACTACACTGTCATAAATGGGTGCCGTAGCGACGGTCTTGCTGTGATGACACTGGGATCACAACCCACTTGATCCCAAAAGGGGGTATTAATAGAGTATTAAAAGTATCAACACGAAACAATGGGTATAAATTGGATAAGTTTAGATTTAGGAAAGACCTGGGTAAATACTGGTTCGGTAACAGGGTTGTTGATTTGTGGAATCAATTACCGCGTAACATAATAGAAGTAGGATCCCTAGATTGTTTCAAGCGTAGGTTAGACATATATATAAATGAGATTGGGTGGATATAAATAGCAGCTGCCCCGTATGGGCCAATAGGCCTTATGCAGTTACCTATTCTGCTTCATTCTTACGTTCTTGTAGTTGTTGTTATAGATTCAGCTACTGGGAACAAAAAGTTCCAAGTAGCACGGGCTATGGTGAGCCCGTAGTGGACTTACCCGACACAGGAGCGGCGCTGGAACTCCGTTCTTGTATATCCGTGATGCTTATCACGGTGCACCTGTCCCGTGACCCACGCCCGAGTTCCTAAGTACCCGTGACGCCACGCCCGTGTCCACGGTATACACCCACGCCCGTGTCCACGGTATACACCCACGCCCGTGTCCACGGTATACACCCACGCCACTGCCACGCCCTCCCCGCGCCCATTCCCACGTCCTCCACACGTCGAGCCGCTGACCGAAAAGATTAACAGATGAGATCGTGATAAATCAGCGACATCTCGGGTCAGTATACGGCGACCAACCGGAAATACTGAGGTCAAAGGTCGCACTACCACTTGCTGTACGTCATGTCAGGGGCCAAAACAGTGCCGCAACACATCTCCAGTGTGGCCGTAGGGTGCGTGGCTTTGCAAGCACGTGTATACCTTATGGCACTGCATTTATTAAGCCCCTCACGCTCTCAAGCACCTTCAAGATCACACCGGAGCCTGGGAAAGGAGGATGCTGGGCAAGATCTGGTGCGGGAGGTGAAGTGAACTCAAGTTTTTGTCTCTGGTGTTTTTCTTGTCGGAAATTCTGATGTGAGGATCAGCTACCAGTTCCTGAGTAGCGGAGGTTGTGCAAGACCCGTCCAGAGGTTCCTGGTGGGGCAGAAGCCACCGACACACTCCACTGCCTGGCGTTCTGGGAACCACCGAGTCTCTTGGTGTGTTGCTTGCCCCGTGTTTGTGTCCGCCCGTCCACCACCTGTATGTGGCCTCCCACCACCTGTATCTGGCCTCCCTCCACCTGTGTCCGCCCGTCCACCACCTGTATATGGCCTCCCTCCACCTGTGTCCGCCCGTCCACCACCTGTATCTGGCCTCCCTCCACCTGTGTCCGCCCGTCCACCCCCTGTATCTGGCCTCCCACCACCTGTGTCCGCCCGTCCACCACCTGTATCTGGCCTCCCACCACCTGTGTCCGGCCGCTCACCACTTATATTCCACACCTGTTTCATCTCCTGTGATAGATGCCTGTAGCTGCACACCTGTGGTATATATGATCATTGTACCGATAGTATGCGCTCAAATCTGTCAGCTTGTAAGTAATGACAAAATATATAATCTTACAATATTGTATTATTATTACTTAAGTATACAGATTTAATTAGGTAAATAAAATCTTTCCTTCCAGAGGAGGCTGAGGCCAGGGTTTCCCACGGCTCAGCTGAGAGATACAGAGAGACGGGTGAGAAGTCCTGTTTAAGTCAGATTGATGTATCATGAACTGTGTCTCTGGGGGGATTTTGTTTCTGGATAACCTCAGATTCCGTTGAGGTAGAAGGCTGATGCTGCGAAGAAAATTGATATCACTTTAGTGTATTGACTAGTTTATATAAGTTCTTGTTCAAATTTGTCTTATCATCATCATGCAAATTTGGTTGTGTCAATATGTGTCTTATCTCTCTAAAGGTAAACTACGCTTTGTTTTTCCCAGTGTATATCACCTTTCAAATTGTAAACTAGTTAAATGTCACTCATTTTATACCAAAAATGTAAGTTTGATTTAGACTGTTGGACACCTGATTAGCCCGGCTATTATTCTCATGTTTGGTACATGTTACTGTGTATAAAGTGTCTGAATCTGAGAGTGAGAGTGAGAGAGGTCCGTCCTCTCACCACTTGTGAGAGGACGGACATGGTCGACCACATACACATTATCCAACAAAGACCAATCTCATCTCCACGCCGTCAGCTGATCGCCCCCTAACCCCCGCCCCCTAAGAGGGGGGGGGGGAAGGGGGTAAGGGGGGCACACTTCGCCCTCGAAGGGGGGAGGGGGGGAAACAGGAACTCCTCGTCCTGGGGAGGGGGTGGACCTCGCCCTGGATGGGGGTTGGGGGGCCGCTGCTACAGGTGCTGGCTGGTCGTGAGGTCACCGGCAGCACCTCGCTTTCTTCCGGTGTGCCCTTCTGCGGCAGGTCATCATCCGGGGGGTTGTTTGGGGGGGGGGGGGATGACCAGAACGCTGTAGGAAGGGCTGAGAACGCTGCAGGAAGGGCTGAGAACGCTGCGGGAAGGGCTGAGAACACGGCGCGAAGGGCGGAAAACGCTTCGGGAAGGGCTGAGAACGCTGCGGGAAGGGCTGAGAACACTGCGGGAAGGGCTGAGAACACGGCGGGAAGGGCGGAAAACGCTTCGGGAAGGGCTGAAAACGCTGGCGGAAGGGCTGAGAACACTGCGGGAAGGGCTGAGAACGCTGGCGGAAGGGCTGAGAACACTGCGGGAAGGGCTGAGAACGCTGCGGGAAGGGCTGAGAACGCTGGCGGAAGGGCTGAGAACGCTGTGGGAAGTGCTGTAAACGTTGCGACTGTACATAACGTACACTGATAATTGAGTGCGTTTAAGAGCCGTGAAAAGGAAGGTGACCCCGAGGGCAGCCAGGGCCAATGAGCGGGTGGGAGGCATGTGACGTCACGTGCCACACACACAAACACACACACACACACACACACACCGGCCAGGTATGATGACATGCAGAGAGCCGCGTACGATAATCCCCGCATTGCTGAGGTGACACGCTACCTGCTTGTGTGTCCCTGTGTCTCCTTGTCCTTGTCCAAGCTCGTGTGCTACGACGAGGGACAACAAGGACACCTTCTAAGGCCTCTCACCTACCACATTCCTCGATAACAGGTGTCATAAAGGGACATCAACCCGCTGTCGGCGTGACATAATTAATTTAATCGTACCGGAGCTCACGACCTTCGAACTCAACAAAGAAAAACTTAAAGCCAAATAACAAAGAACCTGGTAGAGCACACGTGTGAAAAACCCGGCTCCAGAGGGAGAGTAAAATTCTCCGCGCTAACATCGTGGGAGTCACGCGCTGGCCAAGATTTACTGAGACCACAGTATGGAGGCTGCAGTAGTCCATCTCCCGCGCCCCGCCGACACAGCCACGGAAGCTGCACCTCCTTCGTGTTTCCTCTGGCTGTGTTTGGGCTTTAGTCATAAGCTGCACCTCAGCCTGGGCGGACGTGTTTGTGTATCAGTGGACCGTTTTCTGTAATCATGGGAACGCCAGTGCCAACGGAGACGAAAGATAACAGTGCCACGGAAAACGGGACTTCATCTGGCGGTGAGTGAATGTTTATCGTTGTGTTTGTATGTGGAAATAGGTTTCATATCAAAATATTGGTGAAACAAACGCCTGTTGTAGAGTTTAACACCGCTGTTATGATCAGCTAGTGATATTTGAGTTCTTGTGTGACGTAATGTTCTCCGCCACAGATGCCCTCGGGTGTGATCAGCGAGGGTTACGCTGGCGTCCACCCACGTCCTCGCCTCCACTGGCGCCCACCACCGTCTCTCCGCCCGCCCACCAGTCATCAGTTGTGTTTAAGGGAATTCACAGTTCGTCGCTAAGCAGTAACTTATCCAGAGTGCCATCTGCGTTTCACTTGTTCCAGTCACTACCGTTCCTGCCATCAATGGGCGCCACGAGTGTGAAGCAGCCGACGGCGCCCCTGGGGATGGACCCCAGATTGATGGGGATGCTGCAGAACTACGGGTCCCTGGGTCAGCTGCCGTGGGCGGCTCTGGGCGCCGGCGACCTGGCACTCAACCGTCTCCTGTTGACTCCTGGGGGACGCCTCAGCCGACCCAAGAAGCGATACATCTGCAAGTATTGTCAACGGGAGTTTACCAAGAGCTACAACCTGCTGATCCACGAGAGAACACACACGGACGAGCGGCCCTTCCCTTGCGACATCTGCGGCAAGGCCTTCAGGAGACAAGACCACCTCCGCGACCACAAGTACATCCACAGCAAGGACAAGCCCTTCAAGTGTGAAGTGTGTGGCAAGGGCTTCTGCCAGGCGCGCACGCTGGCCGTTCACAAGGCCCAGCACGCCCACGACACAGTGCACTCACCGCTGCACTTACCCTCCACGCCAACATCACCTTCCTTCAGAAACCTCGATCTGAAGGAGAGACTCGCACCATATCCAATGCTGGCTCACCTTCACCATACCCTGAGCTCAGACCTCCATGTGTTCCCGGTAACTACGAGGGCTCCAACTATGACCTTTCCTACGAGGACAACAAGCTATCAGCCTCCGGCAGCCCCCACAGCCTTGCGAGCTGGAGAGGAGAAGAATGAAGGGCAGGATGTCATTTTTGTAATGGCAGGGGACACGGCAGAAGTGGCTGAAGAGAAGGCATTGGATCTGACTGTTTCGCGGAGGAGAACGACTTCTCACGTCTCCTTGACACCACACCTTACCGTCGACCACAACAAGAACGAGATTTTTAAAATCAAAGATACTTTGGAAATTACACAAAAATCAGAAGCGGAAAAGAACGTCGTAACTAGAGTGACTCAAGGTGAACACGAGATCGTGAATAAGGTGAACACGAGACCATGAATAAGGTGAACATTTAATATATCATTTAAATAAATTATTTGACTTTCCGAAACTCTCTTGAACTTTGAATGTTGACATTTGTAAAATAATTAATGTGTTGCTGGGAACAATGTCCTCCGGGTCTAAATTAGTGAGCTAAAATATTCAGAATGTTTAAACAATTGTGTACACGGAGCACGTGTCGGTAAGGTCTCGTCGTGTGTACATCCCGCTCCTGTGTACATGGTGTGTGTGTGAGTGTGTGTGTGTGTGTGTGTGTGTGTGTGTGTGTGTGTGTGTGTGTGTGTGTGTGTGTGTGTGTGTGTGTGTGTGTGTGTGTGTGTGTGTAAACGCAGGAGAATGAAACACGTATGCGTGTACACGCGTCATCCTGGGCATCTCCCATAGTATACACCAAGGTGTACATCGAGGTTTAGGCATCCTCCACTGTGTACACCTAGTATATACTGCCGTGAGTACTGGACATCTCCACAATGTACACCAAGTGTACATCAATGAGTCCTGGGCATGACACACAATGTACACCAAGTATACATCAGTAAGATTCCCACAATGTACACCAAGTATACATCAGTAAGATTCCCACAATGTACTCCAAGTATACATCAGTAAGATTCCCACAATGTACATCCGTTGGCAGAGTGAATCTCCAGGGGTCGTGTGTACCTCATGTATAGCATGATATACATGTGTATACATCAGTTTTGTTTACGATAACCAAATTACCCCAGAATGTAAATATATCCCCGTTTGAATAAACTGTATGATTATACCCGGCCTATCTCTGTTTAAACCTCATGATTTTACAACCCGTCCTCAGGCAATGTTCATTCCATCCAGCGGTCGACCCCAACGACACATTCACCAATTTTAACATGCTGTTCATTCAATATAGAAATGTTTTCAAATATAAATTAATAATATTATATATAATCATACTGTGTCTATTTAGGCTTAGGTTATGTTAGGTGTTTAGGTTCTGTTGGCAATTATTCGTATATATAGTATGTGGGCGAAGCATTTGCAGTTGTTAATCAAACAGAGATCGTCAGCGAAGCTCTGTTCGAGTAATGTTCGAATGCCATCAGTTGTGAGTCGTGTGTAAAGTATTTTCATTCATAAACAGGGATTTGACAGCTGCATGGAATGAACGTTTGGCCTTTGCTGATGAAGACGGCTGTGGTTTTTGTCTGAGACGCGAGACCTCCATAGTGAGAAGCAAGACTTCTCCATTACTACGGGCTCACCATAGCCCGTGCTGCTTGGAACGATTTGTTCCAAGTAGCGAATCTTAAACAACAAATTCTCCATTAAGAAGCGAGGCTTTTCAATGAGTGGGAAGGCAGGCCACCTCACAAAGACAAGAAAACTTAGTGGAAAGCGAGACCTAGTTACGTGTTGGCCATTAGACCTATCATCCCCCCTAGACTAGAAGGGGTTTATTAAGACCACCATAATAGCTTATTGACCAACCAACAAGAAGACTTTACTCCTGAACATAGTCGAGGACAATGGTGGCCACACCTCTCGACACTGTGTACAAATACCAGGGTTACCTCTGGTTTGGTGTTGGACTATCAACCTCCTCTAGGAGGTTATTGACGTCATCATAATAACTTACTGACCAGCCAACAAGAATAATTTAGTCGTGAACGTAGTCCAGGATTATGCTGGGTATACCTCACGGTGCATATATCCCGTGTCGACTTTTCTTAAGCTCACACATGACCTCTAAATTGACTCTAACATGGTCTCTGAAGTTGCAATCATCTTTAGGAATCTCATTAAATAGCAATGATATAGGTTTACATAAACCTACATAGGTTTACTTCGAAAACAAGAACAATTTTGATCGAATAATTAAAAAAAGAGCAGCATTTATATATGGAATTTTGTCTTAGAAACAATTGTTTTAAATATATCTGATATATATTTAAATATAAATAAATATATATAAATATATTGTACACTTCAGTTGAATTCAAGTACATTATGGGAACGATGTCTGATGGGCAGTGTGAGAACAATGTCTGCAGAACCTTTTGAGAACAATGCCTGAACATTATGATAATGATGAACATTACGTGAACAATATATGATCAATGTTGAACTTGAGAACAATGTCTAGTGAACAACAGGGTAAGATAAAGCTAACGTGTTCATCTTCTAATGCTATTAATCACCCGATCAATATACGGCTTTATTTATTTCTAAGCACATTACTATATATATATATATATATATATATATATATATATATATATATATATATATATATATATATATATATATATATATATATATATATATATATGCGGAAAATCCACAGAGAAATATGAAATGAGGTGAACGTTTCGGCTCGTTAAAGCGTTCACCTCATTTCATATTTCTATGTGGATTTTCCGCATAAAATGATCAGTGTTTTGTGATCGTCAATTGCATATATATATATATATATATATATATATATATATATATATATATATATATATATATATATATATATATATATATATATATATATATATATATATATATATATATATATAAGGCACAACTCTCCTAAACACGAGAGTCAAGTATACAACTTTAGAACACTTTCCCACCAGGAGACTCGAACCCTAGCCAGCACAGAAGCCTTCCAGCAACTGGCATAACAGGTACGCCTTAACCCTCTCCACCACCTGCTCAGACCCTTAAAAGAGATGGTAATTTCGGAGTATTTAAATACCACAAAGATCACCACCTCCCAAGAGCACTAGAGCAAGTGAGGGGTCATTTAGACGTTAATTTCATCAAGTCCCTGTTAATATGGGAAGACACAGTGTCTATGCTTAAGGCACAACTCTCCTAAACACGAGAGTCAAGTATACAACTTTAGAACACTTTCCCACCAGGAGACTCGAACCCTAGCCAGCACAGAAGCCTTCCAGCAACTGGCATAACAGGTACGCCTGTTATACTTGTATACTTGATATTTGTATACTTGTATACTTGTATTTGTATACTTGACTCTCGTGTTTAGGAGAGTTGTGCCTTAAGCATAGACACTGTGTCTTCCCATATTAACAGGGACTTGATGAAATTAACGTCTAAATGACCCCTCACTTGCTCTAGTGCTCTTGGGAGGTGGTGATCTTTGTGGTATTTAAATACTCCGAAATTACCATCTCTTTTAAGGGTCTGAGCAGGTGGTGGAGAGGGTTAAGGCGTACCTGTTATGCCAGTTGCTGGAAGGCTTCTGTGCTGGCTAGGGTTCGAGTCTCCTGGTGGGAAAGTGTTCTAAAGTTGTATACTTGACTCTCGTGTTTAGGAGAGTTGTGCCTTAAGCATAGACACTGTGTCTTCCCATATTAACAGGGACTTGATGAAATTAACGTCTAAATGTCCCCTCACTTGCTCTAGTGCTCTTGGGAGGTGGTGATCTTTGTGGTATTTAAATACTCCGAAATTACCATCTCTTTTAAGGGTCTGAGCAGGTGGTGGAGAGGGTTAAGGCGTACCTGTTATGCCAGTTGCTGGAAGGCTTCTGTGCTGGCTAGGGTTCGAGTCTCCTGGTGGGAAAGTGTTCTAAAGTTGTATACTTGACTCTCGTGTTTAGGAGAGTTGTGCCTTAAGCATAGACACTGTGTCTTCCCATATTAACAGGGACTTGATGAAATTAACGTCTAAATGACCCCTCACTTGCTCTAGTGCTCTTGGGAGGTGGTGATCTTTGTGGTATTTAAATACTCCGAAATTACCATCTCTTTTAAGGGTCTGAGCAGGTGGTGGAGAGGGTTAAGGCGTACCTGTTATGCCAGTTGCTGGAAGGCTTCTGTGCTGGCTAGGGTTCGAGTCTCCTGGTGGGAAAGTGTTCTAAAGTTGTATACTTGACTCTCGTGTTTAGGAGAGTTGTGCCTTAAGCATAGACACTGTGTCTTCCCATATTAACAGGGACTTGATGAAATTAACGTCTAAATGACCCCTCACTTGCTCTAGTGCTCTTGGGAGGTGGTGATCTTTGTGGTATTTAAATACTCCGAAATTACCATCTCTTTTAAGGGTCTGAGCAGGTGGTGGAGAGGGTTAAGGCGTACCTGTTATGCCAGTTGCTGGAAGGCTTCTGTGCTGGCTAGGGTTCGAGTCTCCTGGTGGGAAAGTGTTCTAAAGTTGTATACTTGACTCTCGTGTTTAGGAGAGTTGTGCCTTAAGCATAGACACTGTGTCTTCCCATATTAACAGGGACTTGATGAAATTAACGTCTAAATGACCCCTCACTTGCTCTAGTGCTCTTGGGAGGTGGTGATCTTTGTGGTATTTAAATACTCCGAAATTACCATCTCTTTTAAGGGTCTGAGCAGGTGGTGGAGAGGGTTAAGGCGTACCTGTTATGCCAGTTGCTGGAAGGCTTCTGTGCTGGCTAGGGTTCGAGTCTCCTGGTGGGAAAGTGTTCTAAAGTTATATATATATATATATATATATATATATATATATATATATATATATATATATATATATATATATATATATCTGAAAACTCACACACCAGAAGTGACTCGAACCCATACTGCCAGGACCAAAGCAACTGGTATGTACAGGACGCCTTAATCCACTTGACCATCTCGACCGGACATAAGGAGGTGATAGCCGAAGGGCACCCGGATGGTAATCTTGGGCATAGCATTTTATCAAATCACCTCATTCTTTGGGGTACACGTGAGAAACACAAATGCGAACAAGCCTGAATGGTCCCCAGTCACTTCTGGGGTGTGAGTTTTCAGTTGCATATAGTCCTGGGGACCATTCAGGCTTGTTCGCATATATATATATATATATATATATATATATATATATATATATATATATATATATATATATATATATATATATATATATATATATATATATATATATATATATATATATATTATTAAATATGACCGAAAAAGTAAGATTAATAATTCTAACACGAATTTTCTCAATCTTTCGTACATTACGCTTCACTGTTGGAGGTAAATCAAAAATCAAAAGTTACCTCCAACAGTGAAGCGTAATGTACGAAAGATTGAGAAAATTCGTGTTAGAATTATTAATCTTACTTTTTCGGTCATATTTAATAATATATGTCTACAGGAAAGACTGCTACCAAAATATATATATATATATATATATATATATATATATATATATATATATATATATATATATATATATATATATATATATATATATATATATATATATATTCCTTTCCAAATTTGCATATGCCTATCGGTCTAGTTTGACTGATATGATTGTGGCAGCTCATCCTCCTAAAATGAAAGCTCTTATGGTAACTATTTGGTGTTTGAAAGTACCAATATGTGGCGACGGACCACCAAAAGGTTCACTTTTGTATTACTGAATTTGGACAACCTAGAAACCATTTGAAGGCGTGTTCAAATGTTCACAAAAACCGCTCAAGCAATTCCTATCACACACACAAACACACACAGTCCAAGAGCCGAAGGTCGATCTTACAAACACAAATAGGTGATCACACTTACGTATAAACAGACCTGTATGAACACAAATGTTCAATATAGGGCACGGTAGTACAAATAAATCTGTTCAGTATAAGGCAGAGCAGAACAAGAGGATGTTCATTATAAGGCAGAGTAGAGCATATGGATATGTTTAGTATAAGCCAAGGTAACATGTTCATTATAAGGAAAGGTGGAACAGAGGCACATTCACTATAGGGCAGAGGACATGTTCAGTATAAGACATATGGAATAT